CCCCCCCCTCCCCTCACACCGCTGCTAACACGCTCCTCGCCAGAAAACATGCATCAACAACATGCTTAACATCGCCCAGACCGAGTTTGGATGCAGTTCGGGTGACGCTAACTGCTACTGCGGCAATGCCGACTTCGGCTACGGAGTCCGTGACTGCGCCAGGCAAGCCTGCTCTAGTGATGATGACGCCCAGAATGTCATCAACTACGGCGTCCAGTACTGCCGTGGTGAGTTGCACCAACACGCTCTGTTTGCTAAATTCTCGCTGACCGTTTCGTTTTGCAGAGGTTGTTGCCAGCGCTAGCTCCAGCGCCACCAGTGCCAGTGCCAGCCCCAGTACTTCTGCCTCGGCCCTGAGCGTTCTGTCTTCTGCTTCGGCCTCGGCCACCGCCTCTTCTGCCTCAGGCTCTTCTGGTTCCGCTTCGGCGTCTAGGTCCCCGGTTACGACTGTCCCTCTTGTCGCTACCGTCTCGGCGTCTGACACTACTTACGCGACCACGACGGGCTTCTCCACTGCCTTCACTACTGGCGGCGCCGGCGCTTCTGTCAGCTCCAAGGTTAGCTCTGCTGTGTCTAGCGTCCGCTCCAGCGCATCGTCCGTTGCCTCTTCCCTTTCTTCTGAGGCCTCCGCTGCTGCTAGCTCAGCCTCTTCTTCCGTTTCTGCTGCTGCTTCCTCGGGTGGCTCTGCCGCTTCCAGCGCTGTAAGTTTTAGATCATCCCGCTACATTCTACTCTTCATCAAAGCTGACAAATTACACAGGCCAACTCTGCCAGCTCTGCCGCAAGCTCGGGTTCCGCCGCCGCTTCGTCCGCCATGAGCTCTGCGTCTGCTTCTGGTTCTGCGGCCGCTTCCTCTGCCACGGCGTCCGAGGGCGCCGCATCTCCTATGAAGACTGCTGGCCCGCTCCTCGGTGCCGCTGGCATGGCCATTCTCTTTGCCTTGTAAACAAGGGCTAACGAATCATTGTGATGGAGGAAATGCGATCAATAATTGGGGAAGATGACGATCGAGTGGATGACGTTGACAGGATGAGCGAAGGAAACATTCCTCTTGACTCAGCCTCCTGCTTTCGTGGCTACGGCCACCCTACCTAATGCCGCTCACGATACCCATAGCATGTACGGAATGAGCGACGAGTACACGTAGTGATAGGAAATACAAGTAATGCCTGCCTGCCTTCTTACCTGAAACGTTGTGCGCCCGCATGATTACACAGATGAATGGTTGAGGTTCGACTGCAGGATGCAGATCATTAGATCATTGTCACACTGACCATGTCATTTCCCCACATTCCCAAGGCGTTACCCGGAGGATGAACATCAGGGTCGTTACTTGCCTATTGTACCTAGGCTTGCTTTCAAGGGATGCGCGCGCGGACTGCTCGATGGCACGTCGCGCTTAGTCGACGTCGTAGCCAACCTGCTCACGGTCCTTTTACTGCGCCGGGGTTCTAGAGCGCGAACGAACAGGCAATCTTCCTTGGTTTTGGATGCTTCGCTGGCCCTGGCTCCGGGTCTATTTCATCACTCGTCCTCTCGACGATCGACGGTCCCTTGAGCTAATCGACAAGACACCGCATTGTCGCACGCAATCTCCCAACGGATCCGGGGACCGGAGAGTAGATCACAGCAAGAGGCAGGCCAGCTCATAGTTGCGGTGTGTCCTTCGACTGAGCTGGTCAGGTTGCACGTCGCAATCTCAAAAGAGGACTGAATTTGTGCGGTAATCCCACACTTGATGCATAGCTGACCACTTCTCTACAATACGACAGTACAGTTACAATGACAGTGTACATTTGACACCCTGGTACGCCGGAAATGCTTGCATGGATGAATATGATGTGCCCGCTGTCTACATGGCTACCGGGGTCAAATGGCCGTTTTTGTCGTATTTCGCCTCTGCCATGCTTGTCAGCGTTTCCCTTAATCCATCCAATGGGATGACCCGAGTGTTGGAGCTTACTGAAGAAAGTGTAGCTCAGAGTTATGGTATCAATGCCCTTCATGTTGATATCGTCGACGAAACTAGGATCAATGTAGAAGAAGACGGGCATGTCCACAGTCTCGCCCTTGTTGAGCCGCTGCTCCTCGAAACAAAAGCATTGGATCTTGCTGAAGTACGGCGCGACCTGGCCCGGGGTGACGCTGTATGTCGCCACACCAATAATGTCGTCGTCGCTCAGGTTTGTTGCCGTGTAGAAAGCCAGCGCCGTCTCGCCAGGCAAGACGCGCACCTCGCGCTGCTGCGGCGTGAACTTCCAGGGCAGGACGTCCGATACCGATCCATTGAAGGTTATGCGCAGGCGTCGCGAGGATGTCACCGGGGTCAGGCGAGTCGAAGGGTCACCGTCAAGCGAGGCATGTGCGGCAGACTTTATGGGTTGGCCGCCCCATCCGGTTGTCTGGCAGATCTGGAAGAAATCAACACCCGTACCCTTCTGCAGCAATGGCCTTCGTATCGAAAAATACCATTTTATACATGGGCACGGAGCCGTACGACAGCGCGACGGTTCCGAGGATAACGCTGAGGGTGTAGTATCTGCGGCACAAATTGGGATCAGAGCCGCGCCGGACGACGTGGAAGGTAATGGTGGCAAACTGCATACAGCGTCGAGCGGTTCTTATTCTTGTAGGGCTCGCGCAGCTGCTCCATGGTGGGCGCTGCGCGTTGGCGCGGCTTGCCCGAGCTATTGATGCTCCGGCGAGCTGCGGGCGACCGGTTCGCGCGCGCGCAAGAGTTGCACATCCATGATCCAGCTGCGGCGGACCTTTGGACGAGGTTGCGCAGCAGAGCAGAGGAGCTGTTCATGGGGTGCGAATGGGCGGAATTGGGTGGAGGGTGGGCACTTTGCGGCTCTCACGATGCGGCGATCGGTGGTGGTGAAGGCGCGGGACCCCACTCAAACCCATCCGAGTCCCGACAATTTAATAATCACATTACACACACACACACACACACACACACACAACATCCAACTCGCGACCCCGCGGACGACTTCACACAGGTATTTGTACAGCTGACAGTGTGATGGCATTCTCATGCTGCCGTCATATTCAATTTCCCTTGAGCTGGACAACACTAGATTCTGTCCGCGATTCTGTCCGCACATGTCCTTGAGAGTAGTCATCGACTACATCCTTACAACTCATCCTCGGCCTCAATAGTCAAAGGTCCCTTCTTGACCATCATCGTCATAATCTCGTACAGTGTATCGGCAGCAGCCATAGTCGTATGCTCGGCATTAGTGTCGTATGCAGGCGCAACCTCGACGATGTCGGCGCCGATGAGGTTTATGCCATCTAACCCCCGGACAATCGTGCGAAGCTCACGAGTGGACCAACCTCCGGTCTCGGGCGTTCCCGTAGCAGGCGCAACTAGCGTTCAATGCTGTCAGTCTTGTCCGCGGAAAATCTGCATGAGTTAGGAACTTACAGGCAGGGTCAAGAGTGTCAATATCAATGCTCAAGTAAACGGGCCTCTTAGTACCAACTCGGGCCCGGATCTTCTTGATAATACCTTCGATGCCAATGGTATCAATTTCACGAGCTTCGACAATCTCAAACCCGCAGTATCCGTCGTTCTCATAGTCAGACAGACCGGACAGCGTCGTGCGGATACCAGCGTGGATGTTGGAGTCATTGGCCAAAAGACCTTCTTGAGCAGCATGGTAAAAGTATGTCCCATGGTTGATGCTAGCAACATCACTGGGGGCACCACCAAAGACTTTGGGGCGCCAGGTGTCCCTGAATGGCATATGTGGTCAGCGCAACCCCCAAGTGCGTAACAAAGAGTGCCATCTCACAGGTGACTGTCGAAGTGGATGACACTGACAGGTCCGTATTCACGGTTGATGCTGCGAAGCAGAGGCAGCGTGATGGTGTGGTCACCACCCATGGTGATGACACGGGGCAAAGTCTTGCCCTTCTTCGACAAGCCCTTTTTGTGGGCGTCAGTTGCAGGGGCGCGAGACAGGATGCTGTTGTGTCCTTCTTCTATCTGCTTGATGGCCCATCCGTTGTCATACCTGCGAATATATGACATGCCTGGTCAGTCTGCATATCACAAGAACTTCCATTCTCAAGGACCATAAGCTATCGAAGAAGATGGGAACTTACGAAGTCACGGGAACATCGCCGCAATCAATGACTGTCGCCCAACTGTTGAAAGGATTCGCATCCAAGGGGACGTTGTAACCACCGCTGGAATGTGTTCTCCATGAGCTTCGGTCTTTCCTTTACTCTCAAACCTACACATTTCCTTGACATCGACTTACTAAAGATTGAGACGCCGGGAACCTTGTCTGATACCGCTGGGTCCGAAACGAGCACCGGGCCGGTACGAAGTACCAGTATCAAAAGGAGCGCCTACATCACACTGCCGTTAGCTAATTAAGAGCATAGAATAAGAGCTTCTGTAAAGACTTGGTTGGTCAGGAGCATACCCAGGAAAGCAATATCGTACTTTACGGCATCGGTGGACAAGCACGGTGAGTACTGAATGCGGCCGAAGGTGGATATACCAGAAAAAACGGAATCAGCCTTGAGCAGTAGGGGGTCAGCAATTGCACCACAAGGACTCAAAGCCCGCAGCGCAAAGCTTACCTGGGTGCCACCATCGCCGGGTAGAGTATTATACCAAAGACCCTTGTGTGGTCCCTCGATGGGCTCCTGGTCGTGATGATCACCGTGAGCAGCTGCAAGAGCTACAAGGCCGACAAGAGCGGTGAAAGTCTTCATAATTGCGCGTCGAAAGAGCTTAAGGGCTGATAAAAGAGATGGGAATTGTGAGATGAGAGTAGTGAAGCAAACTGTTGCGGCCAGGGATATCTTTTGTATGTGCCATATCTTCCCTTCTCTCCCCATGCATATCGTGTTAGGTTAAAGCTCTTATGGGGCATACTAGCATTCGGTTGATCCCGGTCGCCTTGCTCAGGCTTGCCGTGACAACATCATCTTACTTTGCTTTATCAAGGCCAGCAATTGGCTGGGAGAAGACGGAGATGATAGAGCTTGCGTGGTGCTCGTGGTGAGAGCGAGGGTAAGCAGCGGGGTGTTGATCGGCGGCAGCTTGGGCGCGCCCCTCCGCGATGCCTGTGCCCGGCTTAATGACGCTGGACTGCCGTTACCTAAACACTATACTTAACCCCTACGCTGCTTATCCGGCCTCTCCGCAGCATTCTCCATGCGTCGATATCAGTCCGGAGATCTCAAACACCTCGCCTCCGGCCTGGTTCGTGTCCTTGGCCTTGCGGTATGCATGCTCGCTGACGGTTGCCTTTAGCTACAGCATGGAAAGATGATCGCCGTCGTGGCACAGACATGTAGGAGCCGAGCCAATGATATCTTTCGAGCTCCACCTCGTCTGCAGATAAGCTGGATTGATCTACATAGCCGACAGACATGGGTTTCCTCTCTTGAATCTTCAACCAAACTGTTTTCACCGTTTGTTCGTTCAAAAATATGTCACTGGCTTCTCAGTCTGTATTCACAGTCAAAGGGACATCATAGTACTGCCAAAAGCATTGCACCCATGTACGTCAACCTGTCTCCTCACCCAATTCTGCTCTGTCTCCATGGTCCATCCTCTCAAAGGCCCTCACAACCTGGTGGTCCCAATTGCTGAATGCAACAATCCACCACTCCAGAAATCCAACCAAATACAATGCAATACATTGTCCAACCCATAGACCAGCCAAGCCCCAACCGTGGAATGCCAGCCAAATACCCAGTGGGAGCGCACCACAGTAGTAACTGACGATGTTCACAGCAGCGCCAATATGCTGCCGGCCCATTCCTCTCAATGCGCCACCACAGCTGCCGTTCAGACCGTCGGCGATTTGAAACAGCGCAACATATGGCATAACATGCGCAGTGAGTCTGATGACGTCAATATCGTCATTAAATATCCGGGCATAGAAGTCCTTAACACCCATCAATACAGCCAGTACCATGAAGCCAAGGGCTATGCTTAGCCAAGCGGCGGTATTCGATGCCCTGGCAGCCCCATTTGCGTTGCGAGCACCAAGTAGATTGCCGACGCGCGCACTCGTGGCTACACCGACGCCGAATGGGATTGTGTTCATGACTTGGTCCGTTGTCATGATGACACTCTGGGCGGCCAAAGAGATAGTTCCAAGTCGGCCAGCAGCCAGTGCCACGATCTCGAAAGCCCACCATTCAGTTCCAACATGGATAACACCAAGAAACGCTAGGCGTGAGAACGTGCTCATGTTTTGAAAACACATGCGGCTCCAGCCTCCCCAGCATTCCCAACCCGCGATGAAACGGGCGTAAGCAAGGAGCAAAAGGAAGGATATCCAGTATGAGATACCAGTTGCAAGAGGTGCGCCGAGCAGCCCCAGTTCAAAGGTATAGACGAACAGATAATTGAGACCGGCATTTAGGGGAGATGTGATCAAAAGGACGTAAGTTCCTGGCCTCATAATTTCTATACCTGATCAGCATATGTCCAGCATTTATGAAATTCCGGTGATCTTACCTTGCGCTTGAAGGTACTTCTTCAAGGCTTCAAAATAGATATAACCAAGTCCTCCAGGGATCAGCACGCTCAGAAATCGTGCAGATTCTCTAGCAAGATAATCCTCTTGCCCAAGAATCTTGAAGACAGGCTCAGCACAGAGCCACAAGATGGCGACGGGCACGTAGAAAAGCCCCAAAATGACGAAGGAGCGTTGTAGGATGATCCCAAGGTCGTGCTTATCCTTGCTCCCGGTGAAGCTTGCCGAAGCCAAAGTGTCGATCGCTGTAGTACCGCCAAGCGCTATAAGCCATGCTGTGGCCATGGCGAACATATAGGAGAAGGCAGCAGTTGCCAGAGCCTCTGGAGACAGTCTTCCTACGATAAGGACAGATATGGTCTGGAGGGAGTTTTGCAGTGTATAAGCCAAGATCACTGGAACTGAACTCTTAAGCAGAATCCAGAATTCGGCCAAAATGAGCTGCGTCGTGTTGTGATGTCCGTCTTCAAGCTCGTAGACCTCTCCTTCTTCATGTTCCTGCGGGGGCAGTAAAAAGGTACGCTCATCTGGACTGCCTGAGTTCGAAAAGGTCGGCTTCTTGCTCAAATGTAAGAAACTGGGCAGCCATTTTTTTGTCCTGGATATATCGTCGAGTCGGTTTTCCATTGAGGTGGCGAATTGGGAGAATGAGATTGCAAGAACGCGAGGGGAAGATATGCGAGAGGGCTTTATTTTCTTACGCATGTAGATATCTGGAAGCTGATGCTTAGAGATAACTATGGGCTCGGCTATGCAGCTGAGCATTGTAAGCCGGCAACAGCTCGTGACAGCGCGGAGAAACGTGGTAGTCATGCAGACAATAATAAGAAACGAGGCCGGTCTGAGCGGCCGATCGTGATGGCTGTGCATCACGACGCATCGGGGGATTCGATCGGCGCATGGCCAAAACTTGCTGCAGCCGCGGGACTGGGCCGGCCGCTTATCTGGGGTAAGCCGGTTTACGTGAAGCCACCAAGGGAGACGACGGGATATCGTGATGCTGGTCCTATCTGCCGACGAACCTGAATGACATGGAACGAGCGATGGTCTGGGTCGTTATCGCGCATGGTGTCCTGACTCGTCTGCGTTACCACAGTAAAATTACCCTCACCTCAGCAGCGACACCGGCATTCACACCTTGTCCTCCCACGAGATAAGCACCACACCCAGAGCAATCCCATGAATCTCTTCCTTCGGTCATGTCGCTGCATCAGACGAGCTGCCACCCACGCGTCCTAGGGGTCGTCGTACCTCCATGGGCAGATCAATCAATCGGCCCATGTCGTCTTTGATATGCCTCTTCCGACGTCCAGTCCAAGATAGTCTGACGAGATTCCAATGTTTTTATATTCCTCTTGCTGTTACGTCTGCATCTCTGTTTCAGCCTCAGCTCTTACTGTTTGTTAATACCCCGCAGCTTTTGGATGGAAACTACCACCGGCCACTGCACCATGGAACCACCACAATACGATGGGAAGTTGCCGGAAGAGACGAAATCTGATGATGGGAAAGAGAACCACGACAACGAAGATATGCAAACCACTGTTGAGACAGACATGACGGTCGTCCTAAAGGACGGCTTGAAACTGCATCCTCAGCCTACCAGCGACCCCATGGATCCTCTGAACTGGTCCAGAGCAAGGAAAAACACAATCCTGACGATCGTGATGGCACTGTGAGCCCATTAGTTCCTGATTTATGCCATCACCGAACTAATAAATGTGTAGCTACTTCATGTTCACCTACATCACTACCACAACAGTACCGTCGTTCTCCTTGATTCAAGAACAATACGGCATATCCATAGGCGAGGTGAACTGGACAGTGGCTATCCCCGCTTTAGGCTTGTCGGTGGGGCCATTAATATGGTCCTCTTTGGCAGATGTCTACGGCCGGCGCATCGTCTTCATAATCGGTACAGTCATAGCGCTGGCATCAACCATTGGTGCCGCAAAAGCACCCAACTACGGCGGTTATATGGCCGCCCGGTTCTTCCAGGGCCTTGGTGTCGCTCCAGCATCGACCGTGGGACTTGCTATCATTAACGATATCTATTTTGAATACCAGAGAGGACTCAGGATCGGTTTGTGGGTGCTGGCCATCGATATGGGCCTGCTGTTTGGTCCACTGATTGGTGGCTTTATGAACATTGTGAACCAGTATTGGGTAAACTGGTTGACTGCGATTCTCTTCGCAGTGATCCTCTTCGCTGAGATTGCGTTCCTTCCGGAAACACTATATCCTCGTGGGCAGATGCTGGCACGCATGCCGTATGCTGGAAATGCTTCAAGTTCCGTCCTGGATATCGAGAAGACGCAATTGCCGCCTAGCAATGCAACAGAAGTTAGTTTAAGACGTACGATGAAGCTTCCTTTTTTGAATATCCTTCCGGTACCAGGAATGCGGCATCCGAAGCCGTGGGATTCTTTCTTTCGTTTCCTCATCACATTCAAATACCCTGCCGTTTCTCTTTCCGTCATCGCCTACAGTGTAGGATGGTACTGGTGGATATTATCCGTGATCACCTATATTCCAACTGCTTATGTGCAGTACGAGCCACAGATTCAAGGACTCCTTTTTATCGGACTAATCCTTGGGACGATGTTCGCTGAAGTCTTCTGCTCCGGAAGCCTAAGCGACTGGCTTGTAACAAAATTGACCAAAAAGAATGGCAGCGTTAAGGTGGCAGAGATGAGACTTTGGCTCATCTATCCGGCTTGTTTTATGACTGCTATTGGTCTGATAGTTTGGGGCATAAGTATCGACCAACACTGTCATTGGATTGTAGGCCAAATTGCCTTCTTTCTTAGTGGGTTCCTTGCTCTTTTCTGTCCCACTAGAACACCGCTAACCGTTTCTGCAGTTGCCGCTGGGATCCAGATGGGAAACACAGTCATTGCTGCTTATGTCGTGGACTGCTACCCGCTGCAGTCTATGAGCATGATAACCTTCTACGCGGTGATCCTGAACTTAAGCGCTTTCATCAATCCGTTTTTCATCAATCCCTGGGTGGAAGCCAGTGGCTGCACCTGGACTTTCGCTGTCCAAGGCATCATCACCTTTTTCTTCAGCGTTTCTGCATTGGGCCTACTTCAGTATTTTGGCCCTACCTTACGGGCCAAGACGGGTCATCCAAGCTGGGTTAATCCAGAATATGATGCCGCATGATAGTTGAAAGCAGGCGTATATTGCTTTAATGGTATCAGATTCTGGCAATCGAATCCACATGTTCATGGATATAAAGTATCTCCAGGGCTCTGATTGCTTGAATGTTAGTGGTTGGCCGAGGAGGTTGCGACTCGCGAGGCTTGCGTTGAAGCTCAGGGTACTCCAGTGGACGACGTCCATTTAAGAGTTTCCCACGGGTCGTAGCCGTTACCTTTTACGAAATCATAATTGGCGTGCGGTGGAACGTGTTTGTCATGGAATCCTAAAACCCCAGACTTGGCACAGCTGCCTATTAGGTAACTGAATGGCAGGATCGTCGGATGCGGTGCATAACTCGTGATCCACTTGGAGAGCAGACCTTGTGAAGAAGTTATTGAAGGAATATTGTTGAAGGAATGTTGTCTGTTATATCTACAGTCGTACTTGTGCCCTGATGAGGGTGGACTTCTCTTTTCAGGGTTGTGACGAAAACGCTCGTCATCCTTACCGAAAGTCCAACGCCTTTAAAACTGCGTAGCGTGGAGCAAACTAGCATTTGATATAACTACAAGAAGCCCTGCAAGCAATGAAATATAACAAATCTTTGATCTGATGAATAAATGCTTGCATATTTCTCATGCTGAGAATTTGATTTATTGGTGTGTCGGCTCGTAAGTCTCAAAAGCCTTTTAAGTTGTAAGTCATCGATACGTATAATTGAAATAGTAAATAGCTGAACTGATTAGTAGGCAATTGCTTTTCCGAAGATTTTTTTCCGAATACTATATAACAGGGTCAAGTTTTATTATCTGATGATCTTTAGTATCTATAATTAACTAAATAGCTTGTAAAGTGCACCTATTACTATTGCCAATAAGGTATCGTAGTACGGAGTAAAACTGATTTCTATCTTTATAAATTATCTAGTCTAAATAAACAAGGTAATAACTTAAGGAAAAGTCTACGATAGTTGCCCTTTTCTAGCTTAATAAAGTATACGACTCCCACTGTTTTCTTATTAAATACTGGCCTAGAAGTTGTGTAGTATTTTAATGTAAGCAAGCGACATATATAAAATTCACCTCTAATTAAGTACTGTCTCAACAGCCAATAAGTATTTTAGAAATGACAAATCATAATTTTATGCGGCTTGGCCTATTGTTTATATATTACCTTATGGCTCGTTAATTTCAATATCGTTATAACAACGAAATAATAGTTCTGTAAAACCATCAACCGTTTGTTGCCAGAAATCGTGCTGCCTTCTATAATTAACAACCTGAGGCAGCAAATATCTCTGGGACGCATCTGTGTACTTAAATAAAGACTGTTATTGAAACGTTTATTGTAGCAACAACTATTTCTTCGTCACTGAATCCCCACACTGACGAAATTCTCCTTACGCCCCTACGCTTATGCTATGCTATAAAGCACAAGGATGTTTTGCCCAAGTCAGTCTTGCTCAATTTTCAAATGACTTCTGCTTTTGCGAGAGTGATGTTTCTGCGGAATCTTCCAACGGCCCGTATTGCGGAGCGGGCGAGCCATTGAGGACTGAGGCTTGACAGGTACTATGAGTGCACTGAAAGTTGCTGCAATAGGGAAAAGAGTTTCCACAAGCACGATCATGGTTATCATCACGTAGTGTTTCTCCACTTTCGAGGCTGATCGTGGAGTATCAGTGTTTCCACCCAATCACGCGACAGTCGCAGTATGTGGCCAAGATAGGCAACTCTTCATCAACAAACAGGGGAAGATAAGGAAGCTTGTTGATGCCGTCACAAACTACTTCGATCGAAGGCCATTTCTTGGAAGAAATCCCCTTGGGACCAGGCTGTTGGTTTGTGCGTTTCGTCAGTGTTGTTTATCACCATCAAGACTAGACCTTCGGCGTCATTGCTACCTCGAACGGATTAGTTCCCTTTTTGCTTTGCAGGTGCATGTCTCTCATGGTCCATAGAATATCACACATATGGCTCGGGACCCGTGTGGTTTGGATTAGATGCATGAATAGTCGATGTGAGGTGTGTTCGACAACGCACACTTAATTTGTCCGGGGTTGGTTATGGGCATCGTAGGGTAGCATCCTTTCGCAATTCTCGGCTTTCATCCTCTCTTGAGGCTCTCATGGTCGTCCAACAGAATCAATGGTTGAACTTATGTCGCCATCGTTCTAGTCCGGGTGCATATGTGCTGTCGGGGCTACTATCCAACGTCGCTTGGTTATCTCGTATTGACGGCTTCATATCAACCGAGTCGTTTCGGATCGAGACGATTCGGTTATAATCTCCCGGGATCCTCAAGCATGCGGATCTTCAAACAGGCGGACGTCCAGCAGGTACCAATTTCCGGCCGTACAGGAGTCTATTTGGAGTCGGTGAAATTGCGTCGGCGTTCACCAAAGTGCTCCGTTGCCTCGGAGGATTGGTTACCCAGACCACAGCATGTGAAGCTGCTATTTTTGTCACGTACCGGCCACGAGCATTGCAACCAGGCTGTCCTCTAGCATTTACCACGTTACAGTTGCGTCCCTTGGAAAACTGCGCAGCATTATAACTCCATCTTCACCTGAAACCATTATCGATGATATCAACCGTCCACATGACCATAAATGAGAGAACCTACCAGCCAGCCAGCGTGAGCTGGGACGTTGGGAGTGCTATTAGTCGGCGAATTTAGAGGACGGAGGAGTAATGAGCGCGCGGGAAAACTGGCGCAGCAAACAGCCGGAGGGTGACATCCATCGCCGACGCAGTGCCAACTAAGCTTAAAGGCAGGCAGAGGTCCGAGATGCCCCTTCCCCTCGTCTCTAGAAGCGAGCGCGGGGATTGGCAGCAACTTCCGGAAGTTCCTCCGCACACATCATCCCTTTCACTCACATGCAGATATAGCCAAAAACCCTGCCTCCTTGGCACAGAGGCACAATGCTTCTGGAAAGGACGCCTACAGCAGCCACCGACCAGGTTCTGCATGTCTGTGGCCCGACTGTTGCGCCGCCAATGCCGGGTATTATGTGCATTGAACGCCAGCCCGACGCCGGTCCCACGCCCCTTGTGCCTTGCATAGAATGGGGGTGTTCTGATCCACGCGTGGCTTTCGCTTTTTCGCGTAGATAGCGAAGGTACGGCGAACAGCGATCCAATGATAGCGCGAACGGTCGTATTCTAGATATGATGGAACATTTGCCAGCGCACTCAGAACGTGAAGGGCGCGAACGGTGGAAAAACATTGAAGGGGGGTCCGCTGTCTTGGACGAGCACTGTTCGGCTGCCTGCATTTACGGGCAAGCCCCCTGGAACAGAGGCTTTCCCAGCCCCAAGCCATAAGCTTATTTTCGTTGCAGCATGACATAGGATTAGGATGAGGGCGCAATGTGAATTTTCTTCCCGCTGCTGACCTCATATCAGGATGTACTCTCCATCCACTCGGTCCATAGCCTTTCGCCATCTGAATGCCTGCTTTCCGACACCCTTGTCATCAAGTTCTTCTGCACGTCCAGTGTCATCGTCCTGCCACGTCTTCTCTAGGACCTCCAGTCCACTAAGATTGTTGAAAAATCCACTTTCACGCTGAATTTCAATGCATCGCTGTCGTACAAGCGCGCGATGTGTGTTGTCTACGCACTCTGTCCCAATGATGAAGAGTGGCCATAGTAGAAACTTGTTCACACAGCTCGTTATTTCAATTTGTGTGATGTGGAAAAGCGCTTGTGCGACCAAATTTTGGAAATTGAGGGACGATGAAGGAAGCGATGGGTGGGCCAATCGCTCAGTGTAGAGCAGTGCGGAGTACCTGAAGGATTCGCTAATGTGCAACAAGTCACGCTGACCGGGGGATAAGGCGTAAGCAGTTGCGTCGCACATTGGTGGTGGGGACGTGGGATCAAGCTCCCATTGTCTAAGACGTTCCGTGATCTCATGCCATTCAGCCCAGAACTCGTGACGTTGATCATCGGGAAGGTCGAGAGGGTTTTGTGTTACTTCTCCAAACGGTGTACCCCATCCATTACCATCCAGTCGATCATAGCTGGTGCTGTAATAGTCGCTGCAATGCTCGTTTGAGGTGGAGGGACGTGGCGTGTTCTCCGGTTTTGCTCTGACAGGACGATTCTGACTTAACAGATTCAGTCGACCCAAACGCGCAATGAGCTTGAAGAGCCGACCCTCGCAACCTGCTAAATGCTCAAGGGCCCCAAGGTCGGCAGTAAAGTCCAGAATATCGAAAGAATCACTCTTGATTTGAGCTTCGCGATCATTGACTGTGGAAGTCATGACGTCGAACCAAGTGAAAAACATCTCGACCCAGCCAATGAAGCTTGATTGCACACCGCGATCCCGCATGCTAAGCAATTTCCGTACACCAGCAAGTTGAGTTCTAAACTTGGAGAACCCACTGTCGCAAACGTGAAACAGACAAAGCACAAGGACAGTTGCCAAAGCAGAGTCGTCTTTCGCTTGAGATGGGTCCGCAAGCTGCTGATTGAGAAGTTCAATGGATGTTGCCTTATACTGGAGCTCTTCCGCGGTGGGTTCACCGTGCATTTCTCGAATTTCCTCCGTCGTGAAGCGAGAGCAAACCCAGTCCGGCAGCACGGCTGAATTGCTGATACGGCGACCTTTGTCGAGGCTGGACAGTTTGGCTTCGGTGCCTTGTCGCATGCGAATGTTGTTGACGGCAAGAGCTGCAATGGCATTTTGCAGCCCTTTACTTGTCATGGCCAAGTGCAAGACATGCATTCGATATGGATTTGAGGGACCATCGAACGCAACGAGAACAGGGCAAATAGTTTTGTCATAATAATCCAGAAGGAAACGTATACGCGGGGGAATCTGAACGGAAGGAGATTGCAGAATGGACCTCGGGATGGAGTCATAGAGGGCAGAGGTGACCTCAGTACATGTGCCATCGTTCTCCCGGGGTGGTTCCATAGGAATTTGCTTGCCACGGCTGTAGGAGTAGCCTGGAATGTGCACATAGTTAGGCCCAGTTGTAGCCAATCCGGGAGGGTAGAACATATCTTGATAGCCAGAATGGCTGTATGAAGAATCAGACAAATCCTGCAGGCTCTGATCCGAGCTTATGCTCGAGCTGAGATCCTCGCACATGAGCGGATAGGAACGCGGCGCGTCATGATAAGTAAGTGACTCTGTCGAGCTCATGGGCGTGCGTGGGTGGAGGTAGTGCTCATTGTAAGGGTGCATGACAGAGTCGGCAAGGCTGTAGTCGTCGGGCGTGCCAGGGAAATCGGTGGGAGAGGGATATTCGCTCAGGGCACCATCGCTGTAGGAGCTCAGCGGCCCGCTTGTCGCCGACAGGCCTGCTTCATCGTAGGAGCCAGCCAAGGAGGTGTGCAGGCGCTGGAGATGGCGATTGCTCACTGGCGGGCGGCAGCTGCGGGCGGAGGAGGCGTATGTCTCGAAAGCAGGCAAGTGCCAGCTCGTCGTCTGATCGATTGCACGGTGGTAATCTTGGACGGTAGGGCTGCGGACGGGCGAGGGCGACTTGTTTTCGGTGGTGGTTGCGGGATTGGAAGTGGGGCTCTTGGCCTTTTCTCTCGTCGTGGTCGAGTTGGGCGACGAGGGCGATTTGGGCACGGGCAACGACTGGCCGCGCAGCTTGCCTCGACTGGCAACGCCAACGCCCCAGGTGAGGGTGGTGCGATAACCGGTGCATTCTTTGCCCATGTCTATGCACTGGGTGCAGTAGGGACGTCTTCGATCACATTTGACCTGGCGCTTGCGACAGGCAAAACAGTCCTCTGTGGCGCCGGTGGTGGGCGCGCGACGGCGACGCTTCTTGGGCGCGGCGGCGACAGTGGGTGGGGTGGTGGTGGTGGAGGCGGACATGGACATTGGTGGTGGTAGTGGTGGTGATGATGGAGGTGGGGGAGGTGGTGGTGCAGCAGTGCAGGACAGAGAGGGAGGGTGCAGACATTATTTAGACGGAGCGCAGATAAGATGCAGCAGGGAGAGGGGACGGAGGGACTCTACAATGAGGGTGCAATGGGCAATGGGGCGTGGCGTGAAGAAGGCGGCAACCCCACACGCGCGGAGGGTTACATTGCGGTCCGCCAATCGATGTCAGGAACCATCTGGCGGGCGGGTATCTGCTGTCCGCTGTCCGCATCGCGCAACGCGCCCGAACCGAGGCCTGGCGGACCCGGCCGGCGTTGCACACCATGCGTCGAAGCCGTTGCGTGCGCCTTTACTCGGCCACCCACTCGACACCCCACGCTTCATCACACACGCCCGGCGATCATGCAAGCCACACTGCCTCTGGTCTGGCGCCCTCGCTGGCGTGCCGTGGCAGTGACAGATCACGTGCGCCACCCTCCTCTTCGAACCGCATCTCGTGGAACGCTGCCCTTGCTCGCGGGTCAACTGATTGAATGCACGCTAATCAAAGAAGCTAAAGGGAGACTCGACACGGCCCTTCTTCCAAAATAAATCCTCTGTCCCTCCCGTCTCCAATAATGCCATTTTCCATCGACCCTCTTGATACCCGCGAAGGAAACTCCTCCACTTTTCATCCAACCCAGCCGGGTCCCGCGAAAAGAATAAAAAAGTAATTCGACCATCCGCTTCGCTGGTGGCGGGAGTTCTCGCAAGGCCTCCGTCGCAACATCTTCTCCTGTCCGTGATCATGCCTCACGTGCCTGTCATCATCGGTGCTTTCATCGCCATTCCGAGACGCAGGAGAATAAACAAAAAAAGAAAAAAGAAAAAAAGAAAAACATGCCACCATCGTTGACTAAATCTGGACCAACCTCCTGAAGATCTTCTGTAAAGAGAGGCAGGGTTCATGGGAATTGTCACCCTCCGTTAACCGTGCCTGGCGCCAGTAAGCGCGAGTAACCGACAACTGACGCGGCTACAAACCCGAACGTTACGCAAGGCCAAACAGCTTCCACCTCGTCCTGCATATGTGCACCACCAGAGGAGCCTCCAATCGCGGGCGGGAAAGCCCCTCAAGAGGTGGAATCAGAAACTGGCTACTCAAATGGACCTGGGCCACAACCTTGTGAAATACATGCTCCTTGACACGCGGGCTGTGCGTCTCAAGCGGCGTAGCTCGTTGCATCATGCATGAAATGCCACATGCGCGAGGGGGATCGGATCAGTAAATTCTTCATGGCCCGACCCGAGTCCATGGTAGGCGCTGGACCCTCCCTGGACCGTCTTAACTTGGAATATACTTTCCGGTCGGCTGTTCCTCCCGCTTATTTTACGCAACTTGTCCGTACATTTTACTCTCTGCACAGACAGGCCTGTGTCAAGCCCCCATCCTGAAATTCGTCATGTGGTCTACCTTCCCTATCTACGCCGCCTCCCATGGCAGCTTTTCGGAACTTCTGAGCGGAGATGGATGGCATCCAAGCCAAGACACGTGCCCGCCTAGTTTTGGAAGGGAGGTTGATCATGGTACTTCCTGATAATGGGATTTGAGAAACCCAGAGTGGGGGCACTGCCGCACTGTGATCCTAGACCCCTGGGTATCTACATGGAGGCTTGTCAAACGAAGTTCCCAGACGGTAAAACGTCTCGTTCCTATCGACACCCTAAAAGAAGAAGGCAACCAGGCAAACACGGGATCCTCATGCCGCATTCCGCCGGATGGACAGGCCTTTCTCATCCATGAACATATATATATTCCCAAGATACGAAGCACTCTGGTCTCTTTGTGAAGCGTGTTCAGAGGCAGCGAAAAACCTTACGGAACTTCATCTTGAGAACAGCCTTGTCTTTACCAACACTCAAACCTTTCCTATCAAAATGAGCGGCGGTGGCGAGGGGTATTACAGATATCCTTGTACCTATCGATATGAAAACAATTGTCCCAACTGGGTCTGGCGGAATGGGGATGCTTGTGGAGAGTGTCTCGTCAGTCATGTCCATCGTCAAATCGTTCTGTTCGTGTCATTGACAGTCTTTAGGAAAGAGGACTGCCGTCCAGACGGACCCGTGAAACAGTCCGCCTTCAACCCAACCTATTCTCACTGAAAATATCCAACGCGGTCAAATTCTTCGCGATAGATACAAACCTCAGAGTGTTTGAGGAATGATCCATCCTTTACGAGACCTCAAATTACCATTCGAATCCTCTACTTCTCGCAGAGTATACGGCTCGTGAGCTGTCACACTCGCTGAAGGCGATGAAGTGTCGTTATCGGCTTTTTCTTTGGAATCGAGAAACTACAATGGGCTTCCGGACAGTTAGCGTTCCTTTGGAGATGGCAGCATCATTTGCTGCTGGCAAATGTCTTCTTTAGAGGAGATCCAAAGTAATCTCGAGATGAGATGTTGTCATATGCGAATTACGACACCCTGCGCGCTTGCGTCTCAAAACATGCAGCAATTGCTCCATCTCCTGCACACATCGGGTGACCATTGCGGCACACAGCATCCTGTTGGTTCACTACCGCCGGCCGCGATTGGGCAACTAGCCGATCGCTGATCCCTTCTGTCTCTGTATAGTGGGCTCTGTGCTTCGATGCCAATGCATCTCGTCAATCAAGAACGTTTTCGAAATTCTGTCCGATGGAAACGTCATGATCAGACATGTTGCATCCGATTTCTTCACTGAAGTCACAAGGAGGTGGCTCAAGGTGGCGGTCAAATTATGCTGACTCTCGACGTGAATGGCTTCGAAGAAGTTAAGAGTTTTTCATACCACGTACCTCCAGCCACGCCGGATCATACCAATGCATGAAGACATATGCGGTATGACTGCAGCCATATCACCAGTACGTATTGCACATATGTTGGTGATGGTAGCCCAGACAAATGATCTGAGGCTTTTTTTTCTTCACAGCCCGAGGACTGCAATTGTGGCCTAGCGTTGAGTCATATGCGGTATGCGTAAGGCCGGGTGGTACGTTATTTGCATGGCCGCTGGGCTTTTGGGATCACTTCCGGACCATTAATCCCACATCATTGGCCGCGGAGCATACCGTCAGGCTCAAGGAGAAGCCACATCTGTCACACGGCAACAACACAACGCTGGGGCGGCTGAAAGCTTAGCAGACGGTCGTGCAGCAGAGAGGCCCGTGTCACAGCCACGCCGCGTACCTCGTTGGACAAAGGAAGACTGGAATTCTTGGGGGTGACAATTCTGGGCCCTAGCTGACGATGTGACCAAGGATGCCGGCTCATCGGTACAAATCACCGCATACCCTAGGTTCCCTCTACTCGGATGGCAATGGCCCACTACCGCCATCAAGTCCCCTGGTAGCTGTCTTTATGGGTAAGAAGGCCTAATATTCACTTGGACAGTGCACAATCAATGCGTTTACACGTTTCAAAAGGTCGATCTCGCTGAAGGATAGTCTGTACTTCTCCGTCTGAACCATGAACATTGGGCTCCAGCCTCCAGCTGCTCACAGGCCCAACGGATACTGGTGCGGTTTACTAACAAGCGATTGCCAGGGTGCAAACTTTCACCACAAGAGCTCAGCACGAGACATGCCACGCGAACATAAAGCTTGATGACACTCGCTCTCGGGTTCTGGCTTGGCCGAGTAGCAGGGCCAAGCAAATGCAAGGTCCCATCTGACAGAATCCTGATGCCTGATGGAGTGCCCCAAGCAAGTCGTCACGATGTCGGCACCTTCCGACCCGCCATCTGGCTACCTGAGGCTTTCTTTCCGCGAGACACCTGCAGAGCACAGGTGCTTCTTCACCTACTCGCTTGACTGCCGAAGCCTGCGCTCGACGACGAACGCTGTGTTGCAGCTTCGGGCCAGATGTCTCTGTGGAATGACCTAGAAGCTTCTGCAGCTTGGTCAGTGTTCGAACACTGAGAATCGTTCCCCAAGCATTGACAGCCGTCCCTTCGATCCTGGCCAGGTGCTGAAGAATCGCAAACCCAGCTCTAGCGCGTTAACTCCTCAGCCGACTGGGCGGTCATTGCGCTGCTGCTTCATGTGAAAATGGCGCAGCGCACAAAACTACCGCGGCTTACAGGCGTAGGTAAACAAAGCGCCCAATGCTTTCGGCAAAGAACATGCAATCAGCCTCTCAAAGTCCTTAGTGAGACTTGGCCCCGATGGCAGGTTTGTCCTCATAGATTCGCAGGCCATTCTCGATAACCAGCCCTTCGTCTCGTCCCAGCCACCCACCCAGCGTACACATTGAATCAGCGCATGACCTTTTTCTTTTTTTTTTTTTCTTCCGGAAAGCTGCCAACAAGGTAGCCCCTACAAAGCCAATATTACATCTACAAAATTGCAGTTGCGTCATCGGTCAAGGATGAACAGTATGATGACGATGCGTTTCAAGCCTTGCATTATCGCATCCTGACGCCAGCCCAGCTTGCCATCGAACTCTCATCCATCAACATCAATGTGCCAATCGGGAGTCGAGCCAGCCGCGCCTTCGACTAGGGGCTACTCTGGCCTTGCCTTTTATGTACAAGTCAGACTAGCGCGACAGGAAGTATCCCGCGCTTTCGGGCTCGAATTAAGCGCGCTGAACATGGGGAGGTTCTTTACGCCCAAACTACAGAAGGCAAAGCACTCTATGCAGTTTCCTCCAGATAAAGCTAACCGGGTAAGGATCTAGTATGAAGAATTCTGCGAGAGTTGGCACCTAAGCCTTTTGTTCAAGGGTAGAACCTCCTAATGATTGGCGGGATATGTTGACCGAAAACGGCGGCTCGATCGATCCGATGATGTTCGAGTTGTCAAGCGGTGCACAACACCAAAGACATGCGGTTTGTTAGATTCACTCTCAAATTAAGTATCGAAAATTCTTGGAATGTTCACAATCTAACCGTACGTTTTGCTAGACTGTTCAAAACTCTTCGCATTTCGCAGCCTTTTCCATCTCACCACGATAGTTTGGTAATTTAAACGACACCCCCTAAATACCGATTCGACTAGCTTTCCAAAAGCTCCAAAAGTCTCCACACTACCGTCTACAGAGATGGACTTTGGGCAAGTCAAACGCACGACCGTTTGGAAACAGCATTGTCGTTGTTTAGGACTCCGTTAGCCACTCCGCTTCTGCAGTCCGCATTTCAGAGGACGTCCATTCTGATTCGTCCTCGCTATAGCCGATGATTGGCCATCTCGCCTAGAAGCTCTCCAGCTAAAAGCGTATATGCATTTGGCTAACCTATTACTGTATAAGCCGAGGTAACGGCAACGGCCCGGCCCGCTAGACAAACTATAAACTAACAGCATGAGCTAGTAAGCAAAGACCATCATCATCATGCTGATGTAGCCATGCAGGATTGTCCGGCTTCAAGGTTACATCGGATTAGGGCAAGAAGCTTGATGCTGAACCCCTGGAGTGATATCTTTGGGCAAGTTCGTGGGGTTTAGTGTTAGTCTTCTTCGGGAACCAGAATCCGTCCTTCGTTTAATGTGTCAGTGCTTTCGAAGGAAGACTTACTGTTGAAGTTGGCGAGTATTCTGTTTTAGTTGTTGAGTTTAACGGTCCTTTTTCGTACGTGGTTTATATGCGCCTACTGCATCTCCAACCAAATTCCAATTTCTTTTTAATATCATCACCACCGTCAAATTTAGTGCACAAACAGATGAAATGAAATAAATTTTATTTGATTATTCTGGAATAATCACTGATAGAAATGTCATCATGTCGAGGGCACACCGCTTCCACATCAAACACACATAAAGGGGCGACAAGGCCAACAGCAGCAGTGGAATTTGCGTTAATACGTCAGGATAAGCCCTGTTTAGCACTGGATACACAGACCCTTTGCTTGTGGTCGGTCATCTATAATTAACAATTGAAGTGTCACAGCCCATCCACCATATGCCGAGTTAGCCGTGCTGCTGTACAACAGTGGTAGTCAGTCGAAGTTTGCTCTCTGGGTAATTGATATTCCTTTGGCGCCGAAAGAGGTAACGTAGGCACGGGCCTATTGATCATCGAGTCGGAGATTTGGTTCGGTGATGCCCTGATTTGGCTATGCTGCTTCGTATAAACGCTTGGCGGATGCGCTACCATGCTGTGGGATTTCGCTCCGCCAACACGGTATAAGAAGCTCGAAATTGGCAATAGCTGTAACTTTGCTTCGAATTTTATCTGCGCTTGTCATGTTCGTGCATTGAATCTGCATATCCAGCTCATGCGTTTGGATGTGATGTGCACATTTTGTGACAACAAACAATTATGCTTGCAGTAAACTTGATTTGCCCGTTCTGCAATCAGCAAAATGACCCTGGAACTCCTCGAAAGCACCCATGGAGAAAATCATCTGCACTCTGTCCATAGACGGACTCATGCATCGCCTCTTTTGGCAAAACGGCGCAGTCGATACCTTTTTAGAAGAGATTTATGGTTGAAGTATTTCCGCGGAGAACAAGAGACTATCAGGCAGAACGGTAGTCTAGCCATCGGTAGATCCTATTGAAAGATCATCGTCGAGCATGGATCGTGCTACTACGGCACAGGAAAGAGAATCGGCAACCAAAAACGTCATCCCTATGGGGAAATATTAGCCCGCGTGTCTTGAGACATGGGGGCAGATCATTCGACACGCGAGGATCCGGTCTGAACGGGCACAATCGGAACGACGATGGTTGAGCAAACGGCCAACTATTACCATTTTTCTTACGTGCGGCTAAGTCCTTTATGACGACGCCGCGATTATCTTCTCTGCCATTTCAAGCGGCGTCTCCGCCATCACGTCCATCTCACCGAAGATCTCGGTGCAAGGCTCCTTTTCCCAAATGGTGGTATAAGCTCCTTTGAAGCTGTTGCGATCAGCAATGGTCACGCAACCACTTGAGCACAATGTAAAAATAGCATAGCTTACCCTACCATCTTCGCGGCCGAGACGTCCCACATGTGCGCCGCTGCAAACCACTTCTCGCCGTCTCCGAGTGCTTCCAACACTGGCCTGTACGCCTTGGGGTCCGGCTTGCCAACTCCGCTTTCGTCACAGGACATGAGGTTCTGGTCGGGCATGTGAAGGCCTGCTGCCTTGAAGTAGCCTCCAACTCTTTTCTTGTCCCCCATTGTCAGGCCCCAGCACGTGAAGCCAGCAGCTCGCAGCTTGGCAAATGCCTCCGACACGCCTTCCCTCAGCGTGAGGCTATCATATGCATGTAAGATGGCTTTGAGGTCCTCTTCGCTTGCAAACTTTCGCGGTTCCTGTATGCCGGCCTGGTAGAGGACGCGGTAGAACAGTGCAGCCTGAATCTTCGACCAGACGGTGTATCGACCGGAAATCGAAAGATACGTGTACTCGCGCTCACAAGCTTCCATCCAGGCGAAGGCAAACAGCTGAGGCTTGATTCCCTCTCTGCGGAAGCCCTCCCCCAGACGTGCCTCTACCGCATCCAACCAAACATCGTATCCCACACACGTGCCGACAATGTCAAAAACGACATGCTTGCTAGACGGAGGCATTGGCGGTATAGGTGGTGATTGGCTCCGACGAAGCTGAAGAGGAGAAGAGTAAACTGCTGTATGGATCGTGAGATGCGTGCAGCAAATCAGCAAGTAAGCAAGTGTCGCTCTTCGAATCCGCTCGAGCAAGCTGCGGGGTACGCGTGGGCTTGCCGTCAACGGGTTGGGTGTTGGGTGGCTGGGTGGCTGGGTCCCGGTCTCCCCCACACCCATGCGCAGGGCCATGCAGGAGCCACCCCCGCCTTTGATCTGCCCCACCCTGGTAAGGCGCTGACACGTTTTCGGCTGATAGCCATGAGACGCGTGCATCAACCGTCCTCCCTGATGACAGTGCTCGATCGAATCTTCGATTGATGCGCATCCTTGGGTGTCTTTCGGGCGATGCCGGAGTCCAAGCTGAACCATCTCCCAACATGTTCGGGTACTTCTGCGAATGATTCACAAAGAAACCATCCTGATCCGTGCTCGGTCCTGCTGATAGGCACACTTAATCCGTACCGTCTGCTGGATTCTCGGCTGCATCTCAACGCCCAACGTCATTATGCAGGCGTGGGATGATGAGGAATAGCTGACTTGATCAATATCAGGGGACTAGAAAGTTTGGATAAACCAAGCTTGTCAGATGCCAAGTGTTGAATGCCGCTCTTGCAGCAAACTTCACCCCATTGTTCCGTGATGGCCCACGCAAGCTCCTTCGTTGCGTTGATGCCTCGATCAGGGAAGGAGAGATGTACTCGAAGGACGACGTTTGCTGCTGTTCTCTTGGGAGATGTCACATTAGTTGACTCAGCCAACTCCAGCGATAGGGAAGGCTTGCCTTGAGGCGCACAGAGGCTTGGTGTCTTGGCGTGGGTATGGTCGTATTTGCGCTCATGCATGGGTGGATCGGGAGGTTGGAGGACAGGGGAGTCGAACGTGTCGAGCTAGGTGGGGGGCGCGCGGCAGAAGGCGGAGGAAGCGGACGCCCTCCCCGAAGCGGACGGTTGTTTGGGCGATGTGCCTTGCGAGGCTGTCGAGCGCGGGGAAAGCTAATCGGTCAAGGACAATGGCGAAGTTTGTACGTAATCTGGTGCAATCTAGGTGGTGGTGAGTAGCGAGGAGGGTGGAAGAAGGCGTGGAGCCTTGGGCGTGGGCAAGAGCTCGGTGCGGGCCGAGCGTCTGTGGACGGGCTGCTTGATCCACCGGTGACCCCACAGTCTCACGGTCCCTTAATCCTTATCGATGCAGTGATGTGATGGACTTTGCATTAAGCCACCAACAACATCACAGCATCTTCCTCGACTCCCTGCCGCCCCCGCTCCGTCGCATTCCAGCCGCAACCACTACGGCCGACACCAACCATGCCCCCCGTGTCAGCATGCCCGTTGCCAGCCGCTCCTCCTCCTCTCACCTCAACCGCGGTCTTCCGCGCCGCCGGCATCCCTTGTCCTGCCACCCTCGGCAGCGGGGCAAGTGCTGCACACGGCCTCCCTTCCCGCTAGCGTGGCGTGCGCGAAGCATCGAGACCGCCCGCCCCTGGTCAACGCCTGCGCGAGTGATCGAAGCTGACACGGCGTGCTGCCACTGGCTCCTCACCCTTCGAGAAGACACAGCTGACCAGCCAGATCACCCTCGGCGTCGACGCCATCATTCCTTCCTACCAAGTCTTCATGCAAACACGCCTGCTCGCCTCTCTCACCGGCAGGCGCATCCCGCTATCAGCCACTCTCATACTGGAGTGGATATCGTCGGCTGTACAACCTTGACCATCAAACAACTATCGGCTATCATCACATCTCTTTCGTTGCCCGTTGCGCAACCGAGAGAGGGGACACGCTATCATCATGCAGCCAGAACTCTCGTCAAGATAGCCGCATTGTAACAGCAAAGACTAGAACGCGTCTGCACCACAAGCTTTCGCCGGCTTCCACAGCTCGAGACTCGGTAGGAGGATATACCACAACGAGCAAAGAGCAGCGACGTCGTAGACTGAGTTTGAGCATGCGACCATTCGCCGTCTAGACACCATGATCCAAGGCCTAAAGGCCGAGGCGCGACCATGACACCAGCCACAGCGATGTTGATGGCTGTGACACAAGGACTGATAACGCTTATCTGACAGCTGTGCTTTTCCGCCGCTAGGTGCGCACTGGCACGTGGATGTTTCCTCAAGGTGCATAGGCTCTTGGTTGTACGAATCATGTCCTCGAAAGAGCATTGAACTTGAGAAACCGGATCGAGTTTCTCCAAAGCGGCGAGCTTTCAAGTTGACTCTCCGGTACCAAGGTCTGCCAAGCGTCGAGAGATGCCCGAGATCCAAACCTTCCATCACTGACCTGGTCCTCTTAGCTTTCATGCATTTTCCATCTCTTATCATTGGATTATTTGCAGTATACCCACGCCAAGGGTATAGAGCAACTCAAAGAATGCCGGTTTTCCAGGCTCTTCCTACTCCGCAGACTTTTCTGGCCAACCATCGTCTTCTCTCGATATCCCGGCTCTTGAACTGGTTTTCCTCGCCGCCATTAGATGCACGTGGCTTCTCTTTGCTCAGTCCCAACCTCTTGATGTCCCAAGTCTTTTTACTCGCCATGTTTATATGGCCCTTGACTGCTCATCATAAGGTTTTGTTGAATGGACTTGAGACGTTTCGTGCAGTCATTCGAAAACTCTCAGTAAGGTCTTTCCAGTTCTTCTCAATCGTTGTTCCTTTGTTCCAGTCATCTTCTGCTCATAATGTTCATCCTGATGAACACCGGTAGAGCCATAGAGACTGGAATTTTCTTTCTCTGATTCCATTATCCGTCATTTTTGTTTCTTTTTTTACCTTCTCAGAAAGTGCTTTTCCAGGAGCTTTCCTTCTTGTCTATTTTGTCTTCGTTCATGGTACTTTCTTTTTCTTATCCGACTTGTCCAAAGCCATTAGCCAGGCTCTTTGACTGGCATTTCTTATTTCTTGATACGACCCAAAAAGTCTGCACCGGAATTTGATTCCTTGCCCTGGTTTTTGGATACCGTACTCACTTGGCTGTTGGATAGCCTACTCTTTTCATTTGAGTCATTTTCTTTCTCCGACCTAGCTGCTGCATAAGCACCTAGGGCCTTTCAGCAATTCCAAGGCTACTGTTCTCTGTGCTCATGTCTCTTCTTATTTCTTTTTGTCTTCCGGTCTCCTCTATCATCTTTCTCAAGACCTTTTCTTAAGACCTTTCCTTATAGTTTTCGCTCGTAGCCTGTCTTGATGGTCTGTTCCCATGGTCTCTTTCTCGTGGTCTTCATTTCCCGTGGTCTTTTCTTATAATCTTTCTCCTATTTCCTCGCTCGTTGTTTTCCACTCCCGGTGCTTTTCTTGTTCTCAGTGGGAAGTCGCCCTGAATTATTGTCTTCATCGTATTTCTTCGCGAGTACCTTCAATGGGAAGTTGCCTTAAATCGTTCTCTTCGTCGTGTTTTCTCGCGAGTACCTCTAATGGGAAAATTTCCTTGGGATTGTTACCTTCGTCCTGTTTTCGTGCGAGTACCTTTAGTGGGAATTTTTCTTAACTTTTTGTCTTCGTCCTCTGTTTTCGCGAGTACCTTTAGTGGAAAATGCTTTAAGTCGTAGTTGTTTGTCGTGCGTTTCGCGAGTACCTCTAATGGGGAGTTTTGCTGTCTCTTGTGTTTTGCGAGTACCCTCAGTGGGAAGTTTTCTTAAATTTTTTTTCTCATTGTCTTCGGTTTCTGCGAGTACCTTTTGTGGGAAGTTTCCTATCGTCATTACCGTCATGATTTTCCTCGAGTAACTCTAGTGGGAAAGTCTTTTGCATCTTTGTCTGCATCTTTGTCGTTGTCCTGCGTTTCTGCGAGTACCCATGGTGGGAAATTTCCTTACGTCACTGTCATGTGTTTCATCAGTCGTATGTTCCATCGAGTACCTTCTATGGGAAATTTCTTTCTTCTTGTCGTCATCGTGCGCTTCCGCGAGTACCTTCATGGGAAGTTTCGTTGTGTCATTGTTGATGTTTTCTCCTGCGAGTACCTTTAGTGGGAAGTTCCTTGCTTTGTTTCGTGCATTCAGTTTGCATTACTGCGAGTACCCTCAGTGGGAAGTTCATTTGCGTTGTTTTGTGCTTCTATTTTGTTTCTTTTTGCGAGTACCCACAGTGGGAAGTTTCGTTTTGTCGTTATAGTCGTCGTGTGTCCTCTCTTTCTGGTATCTCCTTCCGTCTTCTCTAAAGTGATCTCCTCTTACCGTCTCCTACATCTCTTGCGTTATTCTGCTTTTTGTCCTTTCCTCTTCTTCGTCTTTTTCCTCGTATTTGATGTCTTACTTTTTTGTTCTTGTGTCGTTTCCTCTCATTACTCTCACTTGCTTTTATACACAATCTTTCCCTGACCTCTCTTGTCTCTTTCATCCTCTCTTCTCTCTACCCATGTCTCTTTTCTTCTTTTCTCCTATTGTGATATTCCAGGCTCCTTTCATCTGTCCGTATTCATCAGAGTCACACAACGTCTCGTGCCAAAAGCCACATACCCGTTTCTCTGCACCAGAGTCGACAACCTACAGAGTGGTCTGTGGACATGGAGAAGGAGTTTTCGATCTGTCATCTCTCTTCGGATTGGTTGTGAGAAGGTCATGGCGTGGCAGGCGCCGTTTTTTGTTCGACACTCGTTCCTTGGGCGACCTGGTATTCTGGTACATCACCGAGGATAGAGCGAAGACGTCGTGGGTTGGCGGTGTTGCCTAAATCTGTGGTGGGCTCCAACGGAGGGTTACGCATACGGGTACCGGCAGCGGCTGTAGGAATGGGGCCTCGGCGTTTGCCTGCTGGCAGCAAACGAAATTGCGTCCTTCAGGTTTCGCACCGGGTGCTCTTACTCTGGCACGACTGGTGTTTAGATCGTGATCCCTCGTCCCGATCTGATCATAGTCTATCATGCTCTATTAGTGCACAGCCTTGCGAAACGCGTTGGGAATCCTCCACTGGAAGCAGACACGACTAGCAAAGGAGCTAGGACCTCTCACCTGCGGCAATCAAACTCTTTTCTTAAGACACGGCCGCCGCCTCCGCTGGAGAGTTCTCGCAGGACGGTTCTCGCCGAAGCCCCAGCAGTCGCCAT